ACGTTGCAGCAAGGGAAGTTTACGTTAGATATTAGGACGCATTTTCTTACTTGGAGGATAGTAAAACACTGGAACAGATTACCCAGAGAGGTCATACAGTCTCTATCTTTGGAGGTTTTCAAGACCTGGCAAGATAAAGCTTTGGCTGGGATGATTTAGTTGGGGATGGTCCTGCTTAGAGCAGGGGGTTGGCCTAGATGATCTCCTGAGGTCTCTTACAACCTTATTTCTCTAGGATTCTGTGATTCACTCTGACCATAATCATTAGCATCATCAGTGTAATGGAGCTCATAGTCTGTGCTCACTTGAAGGCAGACCTTCAGGCAATCATCAATGTTTTTACCAAGGTGTAAAGCAGCACTGGGTCATAGGAGGGGCAGACTGAAGTGTTCTGGGTCAGAATAAAAGTGGTTTGGGGGGAAAGGGACTTAACAGTGGGGGTCTACTGCAGACCACCCAACCAGGGAGAAGAGCTAGACCAGGAATTGTCAGGTCAGCTCACGGAGGCAGGTAAGTCAAGGACGTGGTCATCATGAGTGACGTAAACTATCCAGACATTTGCTGGGAAGAGAAGTCAGCCAGGTCTGACCACTCATGTAGGTTACTAGCCATGTTACAGGACCTTCATCTAACCCAGGAGGTGCACAGTCCCACCAGGGAAATTGCCTTGTTAGACCTGGTCCTGGACACAAGCGATGACCTGGTGAGGGGACTGTGGGTGCTTGATCACCTGGGCAATAGTGATCATCACCATCCAGCACTGGGTGGCAAAGGCCTGCAGCAACTCAGCAGCCCTGGACTTCAGGAGGGTGGATTTCATTGAGCTAAGGAGACTAGTCACTGAGGTCCTGGAGTGGTGGGGAGTTGGGAGTCCAAGAAGAGTGGTCGTTCCTGAAGGTGATGATCCTCCAAGCCCAAAGGGTGGCAATCCCAACATGGATCAAAAGGGGCAAGAGTGCTCAAAATCCCCCATGGCTCACCAAAAGCATCCAGGAACATCTCAAAACTAAGAAGGAGGCATACACCCAATGGAAGGGAGGGGCCATCACCAGGGAGGACTATACCTCCAATGCTGAGGATTGTAAGGGGGTGGTTAGGAAGGCCAAGACAAAGATGGAACTAGGTGGAACTGGCACTAGCAACCTGAATCAAGGATAACAAGAAATACTTTTTTAAATGCATAGGGGGTAAAAAGAAGGTTCCGGGTAACATGGGGCCTCTGCAGGACATGCTTGGAAATCTGGTGGTCTCACCAGACAAAGCTAACCTATTTAACAATTTATTTTCCTCCATTTTTCTGAGCAAGGACCAGGTCATCCCCCCCCACCGGGATCCCCAATGGTCCCAGGGGAAATGAAACCAGGCCCAGGATCAGAGAGTATCTAGTCAGGGAACTTCTGGAGGGACTGGACATAGGACCTGCTGAATTGAACATCTCCACCCCAGAGTGCTGAGGGAATTAGCAGAGGTCATTGCGGGATCCCTGGCACAGCTTTATGAGCACTCATGATGCTCTGGTGAGGTGTCAGAAGACTGGAAAAGGGCCAATGTGGTTCTCATTTTCAAAAAAGGGAGGAAGGAAGACCCAGGAATTTATAGGCCTGTTAGTCTTACCTCAGTCCTGGGGAAGTTTTTTGAGAAAATTATCCAGGAGCACATCTGTGAGGGGCAGTCAGGGGAGTGTATGCTTAGGGGCAACCAACATGGGTTCATTAGAGGCAGATCCTGTCAGACCAACCTGGTGACCTTCTATGACCAGGTCACAAAGTCCTTGGATGCAGGTGTCACGGTGGATGTAGTCTTTTTGGACTTTCGGAAGGCCTTCGACACTGTCTCTCACCCCATTCTCATTAAAAAACTATGGGACTGTGGCATCAATACCTACACAGTCAAATGGGTCACTAGTTGGATGGAGGGCCGCACCCAGAGAGTGGTGGTGGACGAGTCATTTTTGACTTGGAGGGATGTGGGAAGTGGGGTCCCCCAAGGCTCGGTCCTCGTGCCCGCACTGTTCAACATCTTCATCTGCGACTTAGATGAGGGGGTGAAAAGCGCCTTGTTCAAATTCACAGATGACACTAAGATATGGGGAGAAGTGGGCATGCTAGAAGGGAGGGACAGGCTGCAATTGGATCTGGACAGGTTACAGGGGTGAGCAGATAAGAACAGGATGGGATTCAATACTGACAAGTGCAAGGTGCTGCACCTAGGGAGAAAGAACCAGCAGCATACCTACAGGCTGGGGAATTCCCCTCATCAGCACAGAGGCAGAAAAGGATCTTGCAGTCATTATAGACTCCAAGATGAACATGGGCCACAAATGTAGGGACACAGTCAGGAAGGCTAACTGCACCTTGTCATGCATCCACAGATGCATCACGAGCAGGTGCAAGGAGGTGATCCTCCCCCTCTATATGACATTGGTCAGGCTGCAGTTGGAGTATTGCATCCATTTCTGGGTGCCGCACTTCAGGAGGGATGTGGACAAAATTGAGAGGGTCCAGAGAAGGGCCACTTACATGATCAGGCGGCAGCAGGGCAGGCCCTAAAAGGAGAGGCTATGAGACCTGAACCTGTTCAGCCTCCAGAAGAGAAGGCTGAGAGGGGATCTGGTGGCCGTCTATAAACTGGCCAAGGGAGACCAGCAGGCAATGGGAGAGTCCCTGTTCCCCCGAGCACTACTGGGAGTAACAAGGAATAACAACCATAAGTTGATGGGGAGTAGATTCAGGCTAGATATCAGGAGGCACTACTTCACAGTCAAGGTGGCTAGGATCTGGAACCAACTTCCAAGGGAAGTAGTACTCACTCCTACCCTGGGGGGTCTTCAAAAGGAGGCTAGATAGACACCTTGCTGGGGTCATTTGACCCCAGCATTCATTCCTGCCCATGGCAGGGGTTCGGACTTGATGATCTGCTCAGGTCCCTTCCAACCCTCCCAACTATGAAACTATGAATCCAGTAGGTAGACAGATGCACCAACATCAGCACCCTCTCACAAGCGAACTGCAGAAGCATTGAGACGATGATCATATGGCATTAATTTTGCTGGGCTGACCAAGTCATCCAGATGTCTGATTCCAGTTCCCAACGCAAGTTTTATTCTTCCAGCTCAGTCAAGGCATGTACTCAAGAAGATGGCAGAGAAAGCACTTGAACAGTGTCTTTAAGGCCAGCTTGAAAAAATGCAACATTTATATCAACTTGTGAGAAACTATCATCCAGGACCAACCCAAATGGAGGAAGAGCCTGCTGAAAGGATATCAATATGTTATGGACTGAAACAAAAACCCAGAGCCATCCACTCTATACAGAAACATGTGCCTGAGTTGCAGCACAGTCTGCCAATCCCAGATAAGCCTTGTCAGCCATCCTTGAACCCACAGATAAAACAATCCTGGAAGATGGTCATCCACAACTGCAAAGGACTACCAATAATGTGATAACAGTTGCAGATACTGTTCTTGTTTGTCTTTGTGCTTTGAGTTTTTTCTCCTGAATCATTTTGGATTTTTAGTTGTGATAAGGTCTTCATAATGCTCCTTCCAAAACCACATAAGCTGGGCTGATGACCAACTTTGAAAATACTAATTGCCTTGCTGATGGATTTTTTTTGGAGGGGAGGGGGAGGTTCTAGTATTTTAAGGGGTGTATGTGTGTGTGCACAACTAAATTCCAATCACAATCTTTATTTTTAATCAGAGATTTGGCTGGTCCTTCAAAATTACAATAGTGGCTCCTTTACCCTTTGGTATGTCAGGGGCTCTTCTATAGTTTCACTTCTAATTTTTGCCTCTAAGTTAAAAATACAACTCTCATATGTTTCATTTTTAACTGGATAGTAGTATTCCTCTAATTTCATCATTAGCTTTTTCTCCCCGGGTTAACTGTGAAACACACTTAATGTCCCCTTAGGAATCCCTCAACCAGTCCAAACCATAGTCCATAACACAAACCATAATCCTTGATTGAAACAAACAAGTAACCAGAGGAAATTTTCAGCCTTCCTACAGATTGCAAGAGGGGGCTCTCTTAACTCTGGCCCTTTTTAGAAACAAGCTTGTCCGAGTTTCAGTTTGCCTCCTGGCTACAAACAGCCCCTTCCCCAGCTTGAGCAATTTGCTCTATCCACTTTGGGCTGACTGTCAGCTAATCACTTCCAGCTGGGCTCCTACCTCAAGGCTGGTTGCCCAACTTAAAGGGCCAGACCACTCTGCTACAGATACTTTCTGATTGTCTATCTTTTCCATGGCATCCAGTGCTTACAAATATGGTATGAGGCACCCTCTAAATTTAATCCATCCTTCCTGCCCCCCCCCCATATTTACCAAGATTTTCAGATCCTGTGGAGTTTTTAGAAGTTTTATTCAACTCCATTTAATTTCTTTGATTACTATTTACTTCTGGTAACATGTTAAAACAAGAATCACTCTGGGCCAAGATACTGCTTCATAACAGAACATGGGGTTTGGTCACCTCTTCTGTCTCAGAGCTTAAATCACTTAAAGTTATGATTCCCCATACCTCATCAGGGAAGTCATAAATTGTGACTGGCCTTTAGCAGTAGTAGATTACAAACCCAGTTGTAAATTTTGCTGGCCTGCTGAAGTAATGGATGGGATTTGGAGGTCATATTTCTCATTTCCTACTATACAAGTATTATTATGTTTTCACAGCAAATATCATTGAGGAAATGCAATTTAAAAATGATAATCACATTTTAAGAACACTGATATTTAAAACCTCAATAAATTAAACAAAACAACTGTTAAAAAAATAATTCAGTTTCCTATATATTTTGTTCTCCAATGACCCAATAAACCACCCTTTGTACATTAAAAGTAGGCCTTGGGGAATTTGGCAGAGAGATCATTAGTGCAGTATTTCATAACTGCCTGCACAGTCATGGTGTGAATTTCAGCCCAACTGCTAAAAATATGCTTGCCATTAGCACTGATTTAAGAGCTATCAAATGTCTCATAAATGCATCCTGTAACACTGGGGGAAAGAGGACATCTAAAGAAACTGCTTTTCAGTGATTAAGACCTCATTGTACGAGAGCCACTCTTTTCACTATGAGAAGAACATACTGTAAGTAGTAAAACAGTACTGGCTTATTACAACATAGCCTTGTATCTTCACTGGAAAGGTACCATTTAAAAAAATCTAGTTAATATATTACGAGTGCAGACACTAATAAAGCCCGAGATGCAAGATTTAGTAATATGTTATTTCTTGCTATAGCATATTAAAAAAAATAAAACTATGGATTTTTTTTCTCAAATTAAAAATTTATTATGTGGTAATTTGGAAAAAATAATTCAATTTGTGTCTGTGTGTCATCAATCTTATTTTGCAAGCTGCTTTTCAGTTTAAAAGTCTTGTCATTAAAATGTTTGCTGGAAGGAATTCAATTGGGGCTGAGTAATAAAGGTAAACAGGCAAATTTAATGATTGAATAACTTTTTAATAGGTTTTTTGTTCTGATTTGATTTATTTTCTGTTAGACACATTGTTGTGTACTACTCGCCTCCAATTCATGCTGTACTCTTAGGACCTACTTATGCAAACACAAATGAGCATACATCACTAACTGCTTGGGGTAGACACATTTCCTAAGAATATAAAAATAGATGTCAAAAGTTAGTGGCTCAATTTGTAAAAGTTTCTGGGCCCAGCCACTTTGTGTATCATACAACTTATTTAGGCTCTGACTTAGACAAACATTACAGGTTCAAATTTTAAAAATTATTCACTGTCTTGAAAGGAATTACATAAAGCATAAACACTATGCTTATTTAGAAACCTTTGCAGGATTTCTTTTCCAATGGCCCAATAAACCACCATTTTTACATTAAAAGTAGGCCTTGGGAAATTTGGCCTAACTTTGGAATTCCCTTACTTTGGAAGTGTATTTCGAATTTCTCGATAAAGATTTTCAAATCCGTTTTTCTACCTGTATCAAATCTGGCCTTAAAAATATGTACACGGAGGCTAGATATAGACATTCAAGAAGTCCAAGGTGGAATTGATTTAAGTTAGAAATTTTTCTGTAAGCGATGTAGTTTAGATTGGTAGTGAACAGAACATGCACTCACCCTTTGGTGCTGAGGAGGGGCGGGGAGAGGATGCAAATCTTAGATTGGGTTCCTCCATTTTTAAACCAGTCTGTGTGTTCTGCACTTCACTGTGTTACTGGTATAGACCAGTTTCCAATAACTTATACTGGTAAAAGTGTAATATCTATACCTGGCCTAAAACACAGTCTCTTATCTCAATCTGTATATGGTTCTGACCATGAACAGATGAGAACCAAGATCTTATTAAGGAAGATGCAGAAGCAGCAGTCAGCACTGCAAGGGTGACTGTACCCAAGGCTTCCCTAACCCTTCCCCCTCACCCCTCTCTCCACCCCCAGGCTGGAAGGCCACACTGAGTGTGGCAGTTAGGGACCTTTTAAAATACTTGAATATTCCTAGGGCTTTAATGTTATGCTGATCTCACATCTTAAAAATCTAAACTTCAAAATGTTGAGTAAATACTTTACTTATTGGCTAATTAAAAGCTATAAGGAGTCCACTGGATTTCTTTTTTTTTCCTTAGATACTGATAAATGCAAATTGATGGTGGCCATATAGGATAAAATTCTAGTTCTTTGCACTCAGCGGCGATATTTTACCCTAGATACAATTGGTCAAATTTCCATCCTTTGAATCAACTAGGTCAGTGGAAATTCTCCCAATGTCTTAACAGAGCTTTGTTTCAGGCCCAAATTTAGTTCAGAAGCTGGTCCATATGTTACAAGTAACATGGAAATGTATAGTATTTGAAATATAGTTACTAGAAGCTGGTTCACAGCATTTTCCTGAAAAATACTTACAAAAATGTGTTTAAAGCAATTTAGTGAAATTAACAGCCAAATGAATCTAAAATTGTAAGAAACAAATTTTTAGGATCTTTGTATATTTGTGGCACCAAAAAAAAAATTCCTGTTTTCAAAACAGAAATGGAAATGTCTGTATATTTTCTTTATAAGGGGAAGTAAAAGTTGTTTGGAAACCAAAACCAAACAATGTTTCTTCATGCAAAAGGTAACGTACTGTATAATGCATATAAACACATAACCCTAAATCCCTATTCTCTTGTACAATAGCTACAGTTTCCATGTAAAGCCTGGATTTTTCCAAACTTTAACCACTAAAGTATCATGAGCTTAGAATTAAAACCAAACCAAACCAAACCAACCCAACTGAAACCTCTTTTTACAGTCAAACAGTAAACCTGAAATGATAAGTTATATTACCATTTGCTTGAAAAAAAATGGATTAGTCAAAGATAGTTTCTCAACACAAAATGCACTTTTAAATGTTTAACTATTGCATTTAGAAATCTTCATTTTGTTTCAGTTATTTATATGTTAACCCTGGATTCACTTAAGAATCCTGCAGGTCTTGTTTTTGGCTCTTTGGGTATGTGCACTTTCGTGGGACCTGATCTACGATCATGTGGTTTGCTTTAAACTGTGTGATTGTAGATTGGTTCTGGCTTGTGCAAACATTGACCTGTGGTGAGAGCCTGCCAGGGACCTACTCTAAGTAAATTGGGAATAGGGTGGGGCTGGCAGGTCTGCAGCAGGTGATGGCAGGGACTTGGTGGGTCCACAGAGGGAGTTGTCTGTTTAGGGAAAGGGGGGGGTCGGGGGCTAAAATAAAAAAATTCGCTGTGTCAACAAAATATTCTTATTATTATTCTTATTATTATATTACTGACAATGAGGTATATAAGAACAATGGACTAATAATAATAATATGGTGTCTCAGAAACTGCCACCACATCATAAACATGATATTGTAAGCATATATTACAGAAACCAGTGTTGGCACAAAACAGTTGTTTGCCCCACAGCCTTTTGTTGACATCCCAGAAGTTATGAAGCTGACATTGATTTAACAGTCTCAATAGAACTTCTCATAATATGCTTATTATATGACAATGAATACCAGAAGAAATAAAGCAAACAAACAAAACATGTTTTGTTCCCATTCCCTACTGTGTTCAAGTAGCAATTTGAATGTCTGTCTACACCTGAAGGATTAAAAATACAGCAAGCACTTTGTTCCCAGGTTTATTACATCCCTGTGCAGATAAATGCTGTCATTTTCATTCTACTTAAACTGACTAAAATAACAGAGAGGGAAAGTGACACTTTCAAATGATTTGATTGGATTTACAATATTGCCATAGTAAATGAACAACCAAATTTTATTATTTGAGGGGTATTTACTATATTAAAATGGTAATAAAGTACTCATTGAAGCTTTGCGATAGCACTGTTATGTCTACTCCCACTGCTTCTTTTGACACTGTGTTGTTGTTATGCGTCTCCGCAGGCATGAAAATTATTGTTCCATGACTATTCCTGCCCCACTATTTACTTAAATCAAAAGCTCCTGACACTATTTTACCTTATAACTCTTTCATATTATATCAGTTCATTGTTCTTATATACCTCATTGTCAGTGAGTTTTTGAATAATTACAGCTAAGTACAGGCAGCCAAGAAGACTGGGGTGGAAGTGCTCTAACTTTTGAACTTTACTCTTAGGACATTTATACACAACCCTTTTTTCCAGCAATGTGACAGAGATCAGCTACTTTGGAGCAGACTTGATTAATCGAGTCTGTTCTGCACATAAACCTAGGTGAACTGCACTGTACCATGTGCATATGTAAAAGTGAGGAAATGCACATCAGTGCCCAGAAAATGGTGGTGGCGCACTTTTGAACTAAAGCACCTCTGAGGTGTTTTGAACTAAAGCACCTTCAGATGAGATGAGATGAGATGAGATGTTCACCAGCTCAGCCTATTTCTCTAATTCACTGTTAGAAGATAGAGCAAAGGCAGGCTAGAGATGTACCTTATAAAACTAAATAGTATACTACAAGCACCCAATCCTGATCCAGTTGAAATTAAGGGAAAGTTGTCCTTGCCTTTAGTGAGTGCAGGATAGGGCCATAAATGAAAAATGAGAAACTCAATTTCAGATTTAAATATTACATTTCAACAGCTTACATGTGACTGAAGAACTATGAGATAAACTTAAAAAACAAAATAAAACAACTCTCCCCAATGTTCACTTCCCTATTAGAGCACTTCAGAAAACACGCAATGGGAGTTTCTGCCCTGAGTGGAAACAAACAATGCCTTTGAAAACTTTCAAAAAATTTCTTGGTAAATAAAGTATTGTGCTGGTTCAG